TTTCAACTTTGGAGTAGAAAGTGGGCATTTTTTATAAGGTAAAGGAGAAAATGAGGCCGGGCGCGGTGGCTCAAGCCTGTAATCCCAGCACTTTGGGAGGCCGAGGCAGGTGGATCACGAGGTCAAGAGATCGAGACCATCCTGGTCAACATGGTGAAACCCCGTCTCTACTAAAACTACAAAACATTAGCTGGGCATGGTGGTGCGTGCCTGTAATCCCAGCTACTCAGGAGGCTGAGGCAGGAGAATTGCTTGAACCCAGGAGGCGGAGGTTGCGGTGAGCCGAGATCGCGCCATTGCACTCCAGCCTGGGTAACAAGAGCAAAACTCCGTCTCAAAAAAAAAGGAGAAAATGAGAAAGAACAAGTGTACCCCCGCTACTGGGCAGTCATCTACCAGGCAGTTGAGATGATGCCTTCCGGACAGAAGTAAGTTGTAAAAATGGCCAAGTTGGGCATGCTTCTGACGTGTCCTCCTAGTGGGTGTAAGTCCTGAGGTGACCCAGGATGGAAGCTCTGAGGCAACTCTCTGGAGGTGAAAGTTCCATGGCAGGTATTCTTTGATCTGCTAATTAACTGTCAACTCTTGAGAGATTAATCATGGAGCACAGAACTAGAGGAACTTGCCTTGTAGGGAATGTCTGGTGATGGGGGAGGTGGAAAGTTATATACAGATTTCTGAAGGGCTAAGTAGGAAATGAGTAGCCAGGAAAATGAGAAAAGAGACAGAGGGAGGAAAAAGGTAATTAAACCACCTCTAGAAAAATGGGGGTACTGGCTGCCTGCAGTGGCTCATGTCCGTAATCCCAGCACTTTGGAAGGCCAAAGCAGGTGGATCATTAGATCAAGAGATCGAGACCATCCTGGCCAACGTGGTGAAACATGGTCTCTACTAAAAACACAAAAACTAGCTGGGCGCGGTGGGGCACACCTGTAGTCCCAGCTACTTGGGAGGCTGGGGCAGGAGAATCGGTTGAACCCAGGAGGCAGAGGTTGCAGTGACCCGAAATCACGCCACTGCACTCCAGTGTGGTGGCAGAGTGAGACTCCATCAAGCAAGAAAGCAAGAGAGAGAGAGGAAGAAAGGAAAGAAGGAAGGATAGTAGGAAGGGAGGAAAGGAGGGAGGGAAAGAAGGAAGGAGGGAGGGAAGGAGGGAGGGAAGGAGGGAGGGAAGGAGGGAGGGAGGGAGGAGAGAGATGGGGGTAGTCAGTTACAGTTTTCCACTGCCAAGTTTTATTTTACCTTCATGGCATCTGGGTGCCATATTTGTTCTACCTACTTTTTGCCAAAAGGGGACGTAGTCATCGGGCATCAGAATGAAACTGATCTACCTGGAGTTGGAAGTATTTATGAGTAGACAGACTTATAGATTATATTGGTTGGAGCATTATGGAGTGAGGTCTAGAAGGTCTCTGGGAAAGCATGCCTTGTGTTTTTATATACAGGTTGTAACATTAGAAAGCTCCACGACAGAGGGGTATGCCTATCCCTGCAAGCAGGGCCCATGTTACAAGTAGCCTTTGCCACTGGGATGGTCCTGAACCAAATCAGGATGCTAACATTGGTCAGCAACAACGTGGGGCTATGAGAAATGAAATAAGTATTTCTGTTAAAGCAATAAAAAAAATTAAGCCACCTCTAGAAAAATAGGGGGAGTTGGTCACAACAGTATTAACCTAAATAACTTAGAAAAGTGGTTCTGAACTCTGGCAACTTAACAGAATTATCTGGAAGCTTTCTTCTTTTTTCAAACTTTTCATTTTGAAACAATTTCACACTTTCAAAAATGTTCCAAAAATAGTCAAGAGTTCCCGTTTAATTTACCCAAATATTATTTTAGATAATCACAGTGCAATCATTAAAAATCAATAAATGATCACTGACATTGTACAATGAATGAGTCTGCAGACCATATTCAAATCTCCTCCGTCTTCCCACTAATGTCCTGTTTCTGGACCAAGATCCAATTCAAGATCACACATCACATCTCATTGCTCTGTCTTCTCAATCTCCCTTAATCTGGGACAGTTTCTCAGAATTTCTTTTGCCTTCATGACCTTCACATTTTTGAAGAGTATTGGTGAGTTATTTTGTCGAATGACCCTTAGATTGGGCTTTTCTAGTTGTTTCGCATGATGAAACTCAAGTTACAAACATCGAACAAGAATACCACAGAGGCGATACTGTGCCTTCTCCATCCATCATATTAGGATGCCCTAAGATGTCAGTATCTCTGATTACTGGAGATGTTAACTTTGAGCCCCGGGCTAGAGTTCCTACACTGTTAAATGGCTATTTTCTTTGGAAGTATTTGTAGGTGACCAACACTCAGGCCACATGATGAACCAATTAGATCAGACTCTCTTGGGGGAAGACGCAGGCATTTGTAGGTTTTAAATGCCCTACAGCTGACTCTAAACAGCATCCAGGGTAGGAAACCTACAGCTTACACAGTGAAGATTAGAATCCTAGAAATCAGCTAGGAAGCCATTCCTTGGGCCTAACATCCAGTTCCAGACACAATATTTGGCATGGACCCATGGCAGAGGAATGGGAAGGCCAAAAATCTCCTAACTGGGAAAAAGATGGGTGAGTAGACTGCTGTCCAATAAAAAGAGAAGGCAGGGCCAGGTGCAGCACTCATGCCCATAATCCCAGCACTTTGGGAGGTCAAGTCAGGCAGATAACTTGAGCTCAGGCATTCAAGACCAGCCTGGGCAACACAGTGAAACCCTATCTCTACCCCCCACCCTCGAAAAAAATGGCCAAGTGTGGTAGTACGTGCTTGTACCCCCAGCCACTTGGGAGGCCGGGGTGGGACGATCACTCGAACCCAGGAGGTTGAGGCTGCAGTGAGCCATGACTGTGCCACTATACTCCAGCCTAGGTGACAGAGCAGGACCATGTCTCAAAAATAAATAAAAGCCGGGCGCGGTGGCTCAAGCCTGTAATCCCAGCACTTTGGGAGGCCGAGGCGGGTGGATCACGAGGTCAAGAGATCGAGACCATCCTGGTCAACATGGTGAAACCCCGTCTCTATTAAAAATACAAAAAATTAGCTGGGCATGGTGGCACGTGCCTGTAATCCCAGCTACTCAGGAGGCTGAGGCAGGAGAATTGCCTGAACCCAGGAGGCGGAGGTTGCGGTGAGCCGAGATCGCGCCATTGCACTCCAGCCTGGGTAACAAGAGCGAAACTCCGTCTCAAAATAAATAAATAAATAAATAAATAAAAAGGAGACAAAGAGGCAGGACACCAAGTAAAGTGTCCAGCGGTCTGGACTACTTTCTCTCCAGACCTCAGAGAAGCCTGTATTGTAGTGAAAGCACACACCATGCAATTTGACTACCATAAGCCTGACTGTGAGTTCCTGGTTGCCACTGACAGAAACGGAATTATGAATCACGTCATAAAAACATATGACCATGTATGCAGAGATGCACATTTCCGGGTATAAGTGAATGAAAAATTCACAGAATCCACATCAGAGATACATGACCTCCCCTAAACCACCCTGTCCTCCCCACTTGGTCCTTTGTCCTTTATCTCTTTTGAGGTAAGAGAACCGACTGTTGTAAATTTCACAAAATAGGAAGTGTACACATCTGTCACCCGGCTGTTTAGGCAAGAGGACACTGTGCTCAACTTCCTTAGAGTTATTACCTTGAGGTTTTTATAAAGACATATCAACAGTCCCCTCCTCAGAGGAACCATCTGATAGTATGCAAAAAAAATGTCGACGTAACCAAAACCCAGAGGCAGGAAGGACCGTGACTAGAGCAATCCCTAAGGCATCCACATGCCTGCTAAGGTCTGGTGCTGTTGGTGCAGGAGGAATTGCTGCTGGCAATAGCTGGGAAAAAAAAAAAAAGAGAGAGAGACGGCAGGGCTGGGCGAGGTGGTTCATGTCTATAATCCCAGCACTTTGGGAGGTGGAGGCAGGTGGATCACCTGAGGTCAGGAGTTTAAGACCAACCTGGCCAACGTGGTGAAACCCCATCTCTATGAGAAATACAAAAATTACCCAGGCATTGTTGCAGACCCCTGTAATCCCAGCTACTCAGGAGGCTGAGGCAGGAGAATCGCTTGAACCCTGGAGGCAGAGGTTGCAGTGAGCCCAGATCACACCACTGCACTCCAGATTGGGCGACAGAGTGACACCTTGTCTCAAAAAAAAAAAAAAAAAAAAAAAAGAAAAGAAAAAAGAGGGCAGCTCTAACACTCAGTGAGTTATAACAAAAGAACTCAGTCAACCTTCAGTTTTCACACAGTCAATACCCTTCCAGCCTCTCTATGGGGTCTCACTGGCAGGACTAGCACATAATTAAATTCCAGTACATGGGTGAAATAATTTACAGAAGGGTGGGATCAACTGGGACAGGAATGGTTGAAGATTTCACAAAACAGGAAAAATTGGGGTTAGGCCCTGAAAGGCTCAGCCTTAGGAAAGCAGAGACAAAGAGAAACAGAAGCCAAGGGGACTTAAGGAAAGCATCCAGCCCTCCTGGCCAATTGTCTGCTCAGACCTCAGAGAGACCTTTATTGTAGTGAAAACACTTGCCATATAAATTTACTTTCCTAAGCCTGACCTGAGCTCCTAATTGCCACTGACCAGAAGGAAATTATGAATCATGTGATGGACATATCCAATGACGCAAGCAAAGATGCACACTTTGTACCACTATAGATGCACAAATACGCACACACGGCCCACTGTAGACGCTAGTTTTGAAGAGGGTCCCAGGAGTAATGGGGTTTGCAGAAGTTATTACTTACTCTTCTCAAACACTATATGGGGATACTGCACAGGAGGAGCTCATCCTCAGAAGGGTGAAGTAACTTGCCCAGGCTGTTGGTGGATGTGGGATTAGAACCTCAGTGAGCCTTCACCAGAGCCCATAACGCCCCCGCGACCACCGAGAGAGACCTGGGCAGGGTATGTAGGGAACAGGAAGGAGCAGGGAGTCCTACAGCAGAAAGAAGCAATTTTAAAACAGGGAAGTTAGGTAAGCTTGCTAAAGGAGGATCACATGTTGCAGAGGTGTGAGCTCTACACACAGATGTTTGAACTTGATCTTCTGATTACAGAGAAGCCACTGAAGGTTTTGAGTAAGGACAGAATCAGTCAAAGTGAAATCTTGAGCCAAGGCCAAAGAGGGAGATGAAAATGGGGTTCCGGGTTCCTAAGCTAAAGAGACGCTGCCAGCAACAGTGACGCGGCCATGAGATGCAGGAGCGGGAACTGGACGGAGAAGCAGAAGCCCCGAGTCTAAATGCAAAAAGTTACGCAGCAAGGGCATGGCTGGCGGGGGCAAGTTACAGTCTCTTTCTGCAGGTCAGTCTCTCTCCATCTATAAATCACACGGAGTGAGAATTAATTTCTAAATGACCCTCACGCCTTGCTACTCAAAGTGTGGCGCAGCAACGGCATATCCAAAAGCTCCTTAGAAATGCAGAATCTCGGCCGGGCACAGTGGCTCACGCTTGTAATCCCAGCACTTCGGGAGGCCGAGGCGGGCGGATCACGAGGTCAAGAGATCAAGACCATCCTGGCCAACATGGTGAAACCCTGTCTCTACAAAAAATACAAAATTTATCTGGGCATGGTGGTGGACGCCCGTAATCCCAGGTAGTCAGGAGGCTGAGGCAGGAGAATTGCTTGAACCCGGGAGGCGGAGGTTGCAGTGAGCCGAGATCGCAGCACTGCACCCCAGCCGGGATAACAGAGCCAGACTCCGTCTCAAAAACAAAAAAAGAAACGAAAGAAAGAATTGCAGAATCTCAGACTCCACCAGAATCTGTATTTAAACAAGCTCTTTGGGGGATTTGTGAGCACATTAAAGATTATGAAGCACTTCTCTGAGTGTCTTCCAGTTCTAAAATGCAATGATTTCACACTCATCTGAACTCCGTTATCTCACAGCAGAAAGAAGGAAAATAGCATTTACTTTTCGCCTCGTTCGTGCCCTTTTCTTAAAACAGCCTCTTAGACGCCCACACTCAGGTAGATTTAGAAAAGACCAGAAAGGCCGTGCTGCCACCTTGCGACCATCATCAGTAAATGCACTTAACTCTTACCGGTCTCACCAGTCGTGGAGGGGATCGGGCCGGCTGGAGCCTGCAGGGTGTAGGCGGTGAAGTCCAAGTCACAGATGAGATAAGAGAATCATAGCCACCCATAAAGACATGAAGTAAATGTCAGAGAGAGCGCAGCCTGCATCACAGAGCAATAGCCTATTGCAAAAAAAAACAGTTCTTGTAACAATATGTGATCAGTTCTTCTAACACTTAACATGTGAGAAACCGTTCTGAACCAAGTGTAATGGGTATTTTCTTTTTGTTTTTTGTTTGTTTTTGTTTTTGTATGTGAGACGGAGTCTCGCTCTGTCACCCAGGCTGGAGTACAGTGGTTCGATCTCGGCTCACTGAAACTTTCGCCTCCGGGGTTAAGCGATTCTCCTGCCTCAGCCTCCCGAGTAGCTTGAATTACAGGCGCCTGCCACTATGTCCAGCTAATTTTTGTATTTTTAGTCTTTTCACCATGTTGGCCAGGCTGGTCTTGAACTCCTGGCCTCAAGTGATCCGCCTGCCTTGGCCTCCCAAAATGCAGGGATTACAGGTGTGAGTCACTGCGCCCGGCCGCTGTAATGGGTATTTTCAACATCAGCCTCAGCCTGAACTCCACCAGTAAACTGGTAATTTCCCAAGGAAACATACTCTAATGTGACAGCTCTTTTTCATCCTGAGCCAAAATATGTCTGAGTCTTACTCACCAATGCTTGTCCTACTCTCCATAGGCTGAAATAGGTCTAATAACACTTCTTTGTACAACCCACCTTCAAATATTGGTTTTTTAAAAACCCATATGCCGCCCATCCCAAATACCCTTGGTGGTTCCCCATATGGGGTCACCTGAGGCCCCACACCCACACACCCCAGTCACTTTCCCACAGGCAAGTGAAGTGTAGCAACCATAGCAGACACTCCGAATCCTAGGGGTGTCCCCAGAGCAGCAGAGCCACAGGTCCCCCCCATCCTGGCACCTCATCCCTATATAGCAGCTAAACGCCACACCAGCTGACCTGGGGACGCTGACTTTTCCTGTTTGTGCCACTGCTCAGTCATCCCACACCTGTGCAGGTGTCTACTTTTTACTCAGTTTTATTTTGTACGAAATATTTATTGGAGTCTGCTGCGTACTGTCACTGGAGAGACAAAGGTGAATCACACCTGGTCCCTGCCTCACAGAGCTCCAGGCTACAGACGGAACCCACTCAAAGCCAGACCATTACCATTCAGTGAGAAATGCTGTGACAGAACATCACACAGGCTTTTCTGACCCATCTCACCAATCCCCTGTGAAATACCTTCCACTCTTGGTTTTCTGGAATCAGTTTTCCCCATTTCAAGCTCAAAGTGAAAAAGAGAATGCAAATGTCCCCGATGGTCCTTTGTGCAGTCACAGCTGGACCTGGCATGTCCTCCTGGCTAATCCAGGTGCTCAGGGCTCCGACTTCACTCTGAATGTTCTCTCTGCTGTCGGAGCTCACCGATGTCTGCACCTGCAGCAGCCAGGTGGCTGCACACTAACAGAAAGTCCAGCAAGTCAGGAAGCTTGCTTTACTCCCTTAACTTTGAGGCTAGTGACCGTGTCGCTGAACTAATCCTATAACTTCCCTGCACTTTAATTTCCACGTCTGTGAAGTGGAGCAGGTGGACTCGGTCACCCTAGGTCCAGGTGCATAGTGAGAGCGCCTCAGAGACAGCAGCACACCTGATCTTCTCAGCATCCACCACCTAGCAAATACCAGGCACACACCAGGTGCTCAAAGCCTCACTGAATGTATTTGTGAATAAATGACTACATTAGAGCCACGTGAATCATGGACAAAGTCAACACATATTTTTGAACGTCTACCAAGTACACCGTAGAATAAGGAAATAAGTAACCCAGGCAGGGCCGGGTTTTCTCCTAACTTCCCCTTACCTCCTTCCTGGGGGGAGGGAGGGCCTTTGTACATCAGAGAGAATCTTCACACAAATAATGTTCTTGAGATGCGTTACAAGGAGCTGTCATGTTAAGAGGAAAATCCATTTGTCTTGGGGGTGTTTTAATCAATGGACCTGAGGGACCCAAAGCCCCCTCCAATGGGACACAGGATGCGACACTCACCCCAAGTGCATGGAGGGAAAATGAGATGGAGTGAACTGACAGGGAGCAGGACCTGGGAGAACAGAGAGGTAAAGAGACTGCGGGATCCAGAGGAAGGTCTGAGGAGGAGCTCCCGGCCCCTTTTCAAAAAAGAACACAAACAACCCTGACCTCAAAGATCCCCATGCAAAGAGCTCCAGGGGCGCCTCTCCTACAAAACACCCTTGCTCTGCATGGCCCTCCTTTCTGCCCTCCACCAACCCAAATCCTCCCCACCCTGTGAGAGCAGCTCACGTTCCACCCGCTCAGTCCCCTGCTCTCCTGCCACTTTGAGAGATGACTGCACTCATATCTCTAGGCTTTATGAACTGATGTCAACTCCCTGGTTAGACTTGAGCCTCCTAAAGGCAGAGACCATTTTTAGAATTTTCCAGAAAGAAGCCACACCAGTGATTTGCATCAGAACAAGCCCAGCCTGTGTCTTCAACTCAAACACAGGCTCAGTCCTGGCACAGTCCCTGGCCCCTGCAGTGTTTTATAAACCCTGCAGTAGCAAAGTGTATAGTCACCTCTGTGTCAGTCAACAGGCCGGGATAAGTTGAAGCACACAGAGAGAAGAACGGTCAAACAAAACTCAAAGGGCTTTGACTCATGCCTTGCCTCTTCCCTTCTCTCAGGGAAACAAAGTCACACCCCCTGCTCTCACTCCTGCCTGGAGGCTTCCAAGGAGGGCTCCCTTGCTAACCTTCCCTTCAGCCCCCATGAAAATCACCCAGCATTCAAGCCCAGCCTCTTCTCTTCCTTTGAGCAAATTTCCTAAAGTCTCAAATCAATGTCAAGTTTAGTAAGTCCTGATATTCCATGACCCTTAATGTTTACTTCAAGTATTATTACCTTTCTTCTTTCGCCTGGGGCCATTTCCAAACAAGGGCTGGACCAGGCGCCCCAGCAGCTGGGCAAACACACTTCCAGGGCTCCTTCCCTCCTGTGGCTCCTGTTTCTCAAACCCTCTGGGACCTGCAGCTCTGGGGGTCTTCCACCATCCCAGTTCCTTCTCCTTTACACTGAAACAATGAAGCTAGGCAATGGGAAGGAATTATGAACAGACCCAGAACAAGGCAACTTACCAGGCAACGACACTACTGTTGCCAATATTTTGCCAAGGATGGGAGCAGGAGCACAGAGGGAAAACAGACCTTGTCAACGTCTCTTCTGCCAACACTTAGCACCCGCTTTCCTGCCAAATACTCAGCTAGAGTGGGTCACTGAAAGGTATAAGGGGGCGCCAGGTGCAGTGGCTCACGCCTATAATCCTAGCACTTTGGGAGGCCGAGGTGGGTGGATCACGAGGTCAGAAGTTCAAGACCAGCCTGGCCAACATGGTGAAACCCCGTGTCTACTAAAAATACAAAAAATAGCTGGGTGTGGTGGCGCGAGCCTGTAATCCCAGCTACTCAGAAGGCTGAGGCAGGAGAATTGCCTGAACCCAGAAGGTGGAGGTTACAGCGAGCTGAGAGGGTGCCACTGCACTCCAGCCTGGGTGACAGAGCAAGACTCTGTCTCTAAAAAAAAAAAAAGAAAGAAAGAAAAGAGAGGTATAAGGAAATCCAAATGAGAAAAAAGACTTGAGGAAGAAATCATGAAGCATTGGGGTGTGGGAGGCGGGAAGGAGTACAGGAGAGAACGGGCACAGCTGCCAAGTTATCAGTCACCTTCTTATGCTCTTAAGAATGCTGCATTTCTGGCTAGGTGCGGTGGCTCATGCCTGTAATCCCAGGACTTTGGGAGACGTAGGTGGGTGGATCACCTGAGGTCAGGAGTTCGAGACCAGTCTGACCAACATGGAGAAATGCTGTCTGTACTAAAAATACAAAATTAGCTGGGTATGGTGGCGCATGCCTGTAATCCCAGCTACTCAGGAGGCTGAGGCAGGAGAATCACTTGAACCTGGGAGATGGAGGTTGCGGTGAGTCAAGATCGTGCCATTGCACTCCAGCCTGGGCAACAAGAGCAAAATTCTGTCTCAAAAAAAAGAAAAAATGCTGCTGCATTTCTTTTGTTTAACAAGTTTCATCTCCCAAATTTTCATAAAGTTCATGGTCTAATCTGTTACCCAACAGCAAGACGGCATCACTTCACTGCTTTTGCCCTCAGATGAAAAGTGTTGTGGGTCTAAAGCACAGACTGCCAGGCCATGTACCCTGGCCCCAACCATCCCCAGAGATCAGGCGCCTCCAACTGGGAACTTTCCATGCGCACTCCAGGTGACGTACAGCCGCACCAACAGTCAAAATGAAAGTTCTAATCTCTTCCCTCCTCCTCTTGCTGCCACTAATGCTGGTGTCCATGGTCTCCAGAAGCCTGAATCCAGGTAAATAAGACTGTCTGTGAAGGAGAAACAGGAGGGAGGGGGAGAAAATGTGGCAAAACAGGCCACATGTGCATCAAAATGTAGCCCTTTCAGCCTTTCAGCCACAGAAATCGGGAGCAAGTGAGCCTTTCTCAGTGCCAGGGTCCTCATTTACTAAAAGAAGCAAACTGTACTTACACCCAGTGTTGCGAGCGTTAAATGAGATACTGTGTATGAAAGTGTCTGAAACTACAGCTGGCAAATATATATATGTACATGCTGGTTCAACAAAGATTTGCTTCCTTGCCTTCTCCCCCAAGCTTTTCCCGGTAGAGTAATGCACTTCCCCAGGGCCAAATTTGGTGGCAGTTGTGGAGGGATGTTAAAGGCAACTGTACATTCATAAAGGATAAGGAACTCAGCTGGGTGCAGTGGCTCATGCCTGTAATCCCAACACTTCAGGAGACCGAGATGGGCACATCACCTGAGGTCAGGAGTTCAAATCCAGCCTGACCATCATGGAGAAATCCCGTCTCTACTAAAAATACAAAAACTTAGCCAGGCGTGGTGGTGCATGCCTGTAACCCCAGCTACTCGGGAGGCTGAGGCAGGAGAATCGCTTGAACCTGAGAGGCAGAGGTTTTGGTGAGCCGAGATTGCACCATTGCATTCCAGCCTGGGCAATAAGAGCGAAACTCCTTCTCAAAAAAAAAAAAAAAAAAAAAAAGGATAAGGAACTCTTTGCTTATATTCCCTTTTTGTAAAGAAAAGATCTCAGTCCGTCACCCAGGCAGGAATACAGTGGTGCCATCATAGCTCACTACAGCCTTGAACTCCTGAACTCAAGCAGTCTTCTTGCCTGTCTCCCAAGTAAGTATAATTAGAAGTGTACACCACCATGCCTGGCTAATTTTTTTTTTTCTGTGGAGACAGGGTCTCTCTATATTGCTCAGGCAGATCTCAAAGTTTGCTTGTATTTCTTTTTTTTTTTTTTGAGACACAGTCTCAGTCTATTACCCAGGCTGGAGTGCAGTGGTGTGATCTTGGCTCACTGCAACTCTGTCTCCTGGGTTCAAGCAAGTCTCCTGCTTCAGCCCCCTGAGTAGCTGGGATTAAAGGCGCATGCTACCACAACTGGCTACTTTTTGTATTTTTAGTAGAAATGGAGTTTCACTATGCTGGTCATGCTGGTCTTGAACTCCTGACCTCATGATCTGCCTGCCTTGGCCTCCCAAAGTGCTGGGATTACAGGCGTGAGCCACTGTACCCAACCCACTTGTATTCTTTAGAGGGTACCAGGTATGCACAGATTTTAATGCTATTTAATGGTAATGTAATAAACTGAAGAAAATCCTATCACCAGGTAATGTCCACATTTGAAATTTTAGCAGGCCGGGCGCAGTGGCTCAAACCTGTAATCCCAGCACTTTGGGAGGCCGAGGCGGGTGGATCACGAGGTCAAGAAATCGAGACCATCCTGGTCAACATGGTGAAACCCCGTCTCTACTAAAAATACAAAACTTTAGCTGAGCATGGTGGCACATGCCTGTAATCCCAGCTACTCAGGAGGCTGAGGCAGGAGAATTGCCTGAACCCAGGAGGCGGAGGAGGTTGCGGTGAGCCGAGATCGTGCCATTGCACTCCAGCCTGGGTAACAAGAGCGAAACTCCGTCTCAAAAAAAAAAAAAAAAAAGAAATTTAGCCACACCAAGCCCTGCTGCAACAGTGCGTCCTTTGGGAAGCAGACCTTTGGCTAAGGGTTTTGAATCTACTCCAGTTTTCATGACAAGCAAAGTGCCCCAGCCCTTTGCAGAGAAAGCACCTAGAAGAGAGCTCACCCCGCCAGGCACAGCGGTTCACACCTGTAATCCCAGCGTTTTGGGAGACCAACACAGGCAGATCATTTGAGGTCGAGTTTCAGACCAGCCTGACCAACATGGTCAAACACCATCTCTACTAAAAATACAAAAAAATTAGCCAGGCATGATAGCACATGCCTGTAGTCCCAGCTACTTGGGAGGCTGAGTCAGGAGAATAGCTTGAACCCAGGAGGCAGAGGTTGCAGTGAGCCAAGATCGCACACCACTGCATTTCAGCCTGGGCGACAGAGCAAGACTCCATCTCAAAAACAAAACGGAGAGGGGGAGAGAGAGAGAGAGAGAGAGGGAGCGCTCACACACTCCATGTGTATTTCCTCTTGGAAGCACCAACTCCCCAAGGGCCGCTTTGAGGTGAAACGGCTTTGTTACATACTCAGCATCAACTTGGTCCTAAAATCAGGAGACATTCTCCCTTCTCCATCCCAATTTCCAACATCCCCTCCTGTGTAGAGAGGACACTCTGAAAGCTGCTGAGCCCCACAGCCCTAGGGCCTAGACCACTATTCCGAAAGGGAGGACTTTTCCATCACTGTGACAGACACCCAGGCTCGAGTCCTTAGCCTGGACTCAAAGCTCTACTCCAACCTGCCTTTGCAGCGCAACCCCTCCACTCACTAAAAATTACTCTCTCTCTCCACTCAAATTAGACTGTTTGCCCTACCCTGAACAGGGCTTGTGTTTTTCCATCAGCTCAACTTTGTTTACACGCCCAGCTCAAAACCACCTTCCCACAGCTTCCCTCAGTTCCTCCCACAGTCAGAGGTGCACTCTTCCTCCTGAGAGCCAGCTTAGCCTTACCGGATGCTCTTTTCTTGCACTGATTGTAAGGCCAGTTGCCTAGCCTCGAGCTCAGACACGCCCATCCCTCTCCACGCCTGAAAATTACGTCACCAGAATCTGCACTCGGCATCTAGCTTTGCCACGCCCACCTCTGCACTCAACACTAAACTCTGCACTCGGCACCTAGCCCGCCGTTGGGAATCCCCTCTGCACTCAGCACCAGGATCTGCACTCGACACTAAACTCTGCACTCGGCACCTAGCCAGCCGTTGGAGAACCCGGCCAAAATTTAAAAGAAGACCCCACCAAAACCTGCCCAATAGCACATTGCCCCTTCCAGCCCACTCACCGGAAATCCTGCCTACCTACCTATAGCAGCTTGCCACGTCCACATCCTGTTTCTCCACAGCCAATCAGAGTCCCTTCCCTCCCTATATAAGCTGACGCCTGAGGCGACTCAGGCGCGACTTCTCTTGCCCTCTTTCCCTGGGCTATAGAACCTCCCCAAGTAGCCAGGAGCCAAATAAATTGGCGTCCAATTGTTCTCATGCAGGCCTCAGTTTCCTCATTTTAAACTCGGCAATAAACCTTACAGAGAATAACCTTTACGCTGATCATCTGCTGCCTTATATGGAAGGCCTTCATGTGCCTCTCCTGCCTCCACCCCCAGCACTCAGCAAACATTAGCTAAGTGCAAGATGCATCCTCAGGTTTCTAAGTCAGACCAGGGCTTCATAGCAGCTCTACTGGCATTTGGGCTGAATAGTTCCTTGTGGTGGGGCTGTTCTGTGCACTGTGAGACGTTCCGCAGCATCCGTGTGGCCTCTCTCCACTTGATGCCAATACCAGCCTTCCCCCTCTCCCGTCCTCACCCAGGTATGAAAGCCAAAACGAACTCCAGACATCGCCAAATGTCCCCTGGGGGGGAACCACCCTCAGTCAACAACCACTGCTCTACACCAATAGTTCTCCGCCTGTCCACCCATTTAGATTCGCCTAAACGTTTACCCTCAGCCTGGACGTCAGGGGGACCTAGATCAAATCCTGGCTCTGCCACTCCCTTTGCAACCCTGGACAATTCGCTTCACTTTTTTTAGCCTGTTTTATCATCTTAAGATGAATAAATACCACTTCTCACACACACTTGTTGTGAAGATTAAATGATACACAGTATGCTCTAGAAAGGGTTTAGCAAACGGACTGAGTGGAATTTCTAAAGTCGCTCCTTAAGCAGGAGGGTGAGGAACTGGAGAAAGCTCGCTGCTGCCGCCAGAGGGCGCCATCACAAACCACGTCGGGCGGGTAGTGGCCTCGCTCAATCCTTGTTTCCTGGCCAAGCAAAGTTTTCAATGGGGGCCTGAGTCTGAGCTACTTAGTGGCTGGAGGAAATGACCCTCCTCCTCATACCCCAAAATAATTCTGAAAATAAAATCGAATCTTATTTTATCTCTTCATCACATGTATCCTTCTCAGGACATCCCAGCCAGAGACCCAGGATGTCCATATCTCTCATCACTGATGAGGTTCACTTTAAGCACTTGGTTCAGGTGGTGTCTGCAGGTTTCTCTGCTGTGAAGTTACTATTCGTCTCATTGTAATTAGTAAGTATCTTGTGGAGAGATACTTTGGAACCCTATGCAGATAGCCTGTTTGTTCTCAGCATACTTTTACCAATTAATTTCTAGAATCCAGGGATGGTTCTAGTCTATAAATAGTTCTTACTGTGGTGTTACCCAGTGATTTTCTATCTCCATCATTACTTCTACATTGATTAACTGGAATGCTGCTATAAGAAAGAGCTATTTCTTCTTCCTCATTTACTTGTGTATTTGCTTATTTATAAATATCAGCATGGACTCATGGGTATTTATTGGTTGGAATACATTACTATCATTATTGATTATGTTTCTAATATTGTCCCCAAATTGGCCATTGGGAGCTTCTTCTGGTTAGCATTTGTGATATTTTCCACACATCCCAATCATTTTTCTATTTTATTTTATTGGTTTTTTCAGATGGAGTCTTGCTTTGTCGCCCAGGCTGGAGTGCAGTGGCATGATCTTGGCTCACTGCAACCTCCGCCTCCTGGGCTCAAGTGATTCTCCTGCCTCAGCTTCCCGAGTAGCTGGGATTACAGGCACGTGCCACCACACCTAATTTTTTGGTATTTTTAGTAGAAATGGGGTTTCACCATGTTGGCCAGGCTGGACTCAAACTCCTGACCTCAAGTGATCCACTCGCCTCAGCATCCCAAAGTGCTGGGATTATAGGCATGAGCCACCACTCCCGCCCAATATTCTGTATTTTTTAGTCTCAATTTCATTTATTTCTGCTCTGATATTTATTATTCATTTCCTCCTAATAATTTTGGGTTTGGTTTGTTCCTGCTTTTCTAATTCTTTGAGGTACATCATAGGCTATTTAAAGTCTTTCTACTCTTTTGATATAGGTGTTCATTGCTATAAACTTCCGCCTTAGTGCTGCTTTTACTGTATCCTATACATTTGCGCATGTTGTATTTCCATTCCCGTTTGTTTCAAAAAATGTTTTTATTTCCTTATTAATTTCTTCATTTACCCATTGGTGGCTCAGTAGTATGTTGTTTAATTTCCATGTGCTGGTGTGTTTTCTGGGGTTTCTCTAATTATTAATTTCTAGTTTTATGCCCTCATGGTCAAAAAATATACTTACGCAGACATGGTTGCTCACGCCTGTTAAAATACTTCGGGAAGCCAAGATGGGAACATCACTTGAGGCCAGGAGTTCAAGACCAGCCTGTACAACATAGTGAGATCCCATCTCCACAAAAGTAAAAAAAAAAAAAAAAAAAAAAAAAAGTTGCTAGGCCTGGTGGGGCACGCCTATAATCCCCCCTATCTAGGAGACTGGTGGGGGAGGATCATTTCAGCCCAGGAGCTGGAGGCTGTAGTGAACTATGATCTCACCACTGCACTCCAGCCTGAGCAACAGAGTAAGAACATATCTCTTTAAAAAAAAAAAAAAAAAGACAATATGATTTCTACTTTTTTCAATTTATGGCGACTTGGTTTGTGGTCTAAGTTTAGTCTACTCTGGAGAATGTTCCATGTGCTGATGGAAAGAATATGTATTCTGCAGCAGCTGGGTGAAATGTTCTGTAAATATCAGTTAGGCCTATTTGGTCTAATGTGTAGTTTAACTCTAATGTTTCTTTGTTGATTTTCTGTCTGGATGATCCGTCCATTATTGAGAGGGTGATGTTAAAGTCCCAACTATTATTGTATTGTATTGCAGTCTATCTCTCTTTAGAGCTATTAATGTTTGCTTTATATACTTTGGTGCTCCAGTGTTGAGTGCCTAAATGTTTATAATTTTTATATCCTCTCACTACATTGACCCCCTTTATCATTATATAGTGACCTTCTTTCTCTCTTTTGATAGTCTTTGGCTTGTAGTCTATTTTATCTGACATAAGTACAGTTTCTTATGATCTAGTAATCCTAGTACTGGGCATTTATCCACAAGAAAGGAAATTATACTGAGGAGACATCTACACTGTCATGTTTATTGCAGCACTATTCACAATAGCTAAGATATAAAATCAGGCCAGGAGTGGTGGCTCATGCCTGTAATCCGAGCACTTTGGGAGACAGCCCAGGCAGACTGATCACCTGAGGTCGGGAGTTCACCTAACCAACATGGAGAAACCCCGTCTCTACTAAAAATACAAAATTAGCTGGGCGTGGTGGTGCATGTCTGTAATCCCAGCTACTTAGGAGACTGAGGCAGGAGAATCAATTGAATCCAGGAGGCAGTGGTTGCAGTGAGCCAAGATCGCACCATTGCACTCCAGCCTGGGCAACAAGAGTGAAACTCCATCTCAAAAAAAAAATATATATATATATAAAATCAGCCTAGGTATCCAATAACAGATAAATGGATAAAGAAAATGTGGTATGTGGCCAGGCACGGGACTCATGCCTGTAATCCTAGCACTTTGGGAGGCCGAAGCAGGCGGATCTCAAGGTCAGGAGTTCAAGACCAGACTGGCCAACACGGTGAAACCTCGTCTCTACTAAAAAATACAAAAATTAGCTGGGCATGGTGGCTCACCATGTAATCCCAGCTACTTGGGAGGCTGAGGTAGGAGAATTGCTTGAACTGGGACCTGGGAGGCGGAGGTGACAGTGAGCCAAGATTGAGCCACTGCACTCCAGCCTGGGCTACAGAGCGAAACCCCATCTCAAAAAAAAAAAAAAAAGGAAAAGAAAAGAAAAAGAAAAAGTGGTATATATAAACCATGGAATACATTCAGCCATAAAAAAATAAAATGAAATCCTGTCATTTGCAGCAACATGGTAGAACTAGAGGACATTATGTTAAGTAAAATAAGCCATGAACAGAAAGTTAAACACCACATGTTCTCATTCATACGTAGAAGCTTCAAAAAAGTTGATCTCATAGAAGTAAAAAGTAGAACAGAGGATACCAGAGGATGAGAAGGGTGGGGAAGGGAGGAATGGAAAGCAATTTGTTGAAGGATACAGAATTATAACTGGATAATAGGAATAAGTTCTAGTGCTGTATATCGCTGTAGGATGACTATGTTTAACAATAATATGTTGTGTAGTTTCAAGTGGCTAGGAGGATGTTAAACATTTGCAACACAAAGAAATGATAAATGACTGAGATGAAAGGTATCCTGATTGCCCTGATCTGATCACCGTAAACTGTATGTATCAAAACAACACTATGTATCCCATGAATATGTACAATTATTATTTGTCAATTAAAAATGAAATAAAATGGGCCAGGTGTGGTGGCTCACGCCTGTTATCCTAGCACTTTGGGAGGCCAGGGTGGGCAGATCATGAGGTCAGGAGAGCGAGACCATCCTGGCTAACATGGTGAAACCCCATCCCCACTAAAAATCAAAAAACTAGCTGGGTGTGGTGGCATGCACCTGTAGTCCCAGCTACTCGGGAGGCTGAGGCAGGAGAACCACTTGAACCCGGGAGACGGAGGTTGCAGTGGGCCAAGATTTTAAATAAATAAATAAATATTGGGGGTGGGGGGCTAGGGGAGGGATAGCAGGGGGTGGGGAAATTGGGGAGGGATAACATCAGGAGAAATACCTAATGTAGGTGACAGAGGGGGGCGGGTGGAGGCAGCACACCACCATGGCATGTGTATACCTAATGTAACAATTCTGCAAAATCTGCACATGTACCCCAGAATTTAAATAAATAAAATGTTTAAAAAATAAAAATAAATATAGCTACTCCTGC